TAGGCGTGAGGATTCAGCTGAAAACAATGGATTGAGGAAACATTCGGAATTGGACGAAAAACCTTTCCCTTCACCGTCCACGCAAGGACCTACTTTTAAAGGATGAGCCGCAGGCTGGTCCTAGACGAGGCGATATGCCCCAAACGGACTCTGAACTCAAAAAGGCAAGTAAGGATTGTATATGCTTAGTTGCTAGATTGAAGTTTAGGAAGAGTAATGAGTTGCCAACTATGTTCTTTGGTTAAGGTTATATTTATGGTCAACCTTTTACTCAAAAAAGCTCAGCAATTTCACCAGACGTGCGTCCGGCACCAGTAATTCAGAGTGATTGGGGGGCTACAGTCCAAATTGGCTCAGAGGTGCTTTCATTATGATTGTCTGAACATCGAATCCCTTCGTAAAGTTAAGCTTAAGACTGAAGATTCGTCTGAAATCGACAAGAGGACCAACACCTCGTCCCGAATTAACGAGCACAGAAAAGTCGTCCTGGTGGTCGTTAAGAGGAGAATAATAAAGAAGCAAAGGAAGGACACGGTTGTGGCTTGGCTCCAACCACACAGCCATCTGCCGACATGTAAGCACTACATGTTTACTCGCATCCGCTCAAGTCTACACTATGACAAGACTTGGAATGTCAAGATCAGACAAAGGGAGCCGACTAAAGGCTTGTTCACTGACACCCTCATCAAGCTCGCTCGTTTGCACACAAACAGGAATGAGATTGGGATAAACAGACACATCACAGAGATAATAACAGCAAGCTATAATTAATTGGAAAATGCTTGAAACTAACAGTAGATCTACAATGACTTGGTCATTTGAATTGATGAAAGCCTGCGAATGAAGAAAATGATAAGAAAATTTTGCCACTCAAATGGATTTAATGTGTAGATATGAAGAATGATGGGGTTTCGAAAAGACTATGCGAACGCAAAACCACTTGTAAAGATCTCTGGGTCCAAAAATCTGAGCTCGCTTTACACATTTTGGGGATACAGGACACTCGATAGACTGATCCAAAACACTACGTTTTGCGAGTTACGTGGACTTTACGTGAAAGCGTAAACTCAGGTAGTCTACAGAAATTGACAAAACAGCCAACGTCCTGAATAGGAGGAACAAATGTATGAAAATGAGTATTAACTATTTGTGGCTGTTGGATCGGCTTAAGGAGAGGGGGCGAGAGGGAGTGCAGCAAGAGCAAGAGGAGGAGGCTGGAATAGCCTCGAGTCTAGCTACGACCATCACACTTCACATGACAAGAACATTGCATACACACAACAGACAACAGCACAAGCCCAGACAAGAGTCTATTTGGGTAAATGAACAGTCGCCACCAGATCCACTTCCTGTTGATGAATTACCTTCTCTCGTCTGCAAGCATGTGGAGGTAGTCAACCAAATCATGCGATGCCTCATCAAGATCGTAAAGTTAGGTATATAAAATAGCGAATAATGACGCAACCGGTTGCGATTTCTTTTCTTAAAATTAAAAATTACCTTGATCCAGTCGTCTTCTTTTTGCTGATCTTACTGTTGCCTGGTCTTCTCCGAGTTTATTTAGGCGAAATGCAAAGTTTTCGCTGATCCTACCTTCTTCAAGCCTCCTGTTGATTAGATTTCTCTCGGCCAGTATATCAATGGCCTCTCGGAACTTGCGTTTTCTCGTATTCTCATCATATCCAGCCAGGCTTAGGTAGTCCGTGGTCTTGCGTCATTTTTTATTAAAGATTTGATAAGTGTTCCGTTTGCCTATGCTACTTTCCATTCTCTCCA